TTTTCTGTACATGAGAGTATAGATGCTTATGGAAGAAGAGCCCTTATTTGTATTAGCATGTACTACAAACAGATGTCCAGAATATTTACTGACTGAAAGAAAAAATAGGAACAAATGGGAACAAATCAAAATATTAATTTGTTGTGGTATTGTTCATTTAAATATTCTCAAGCAAACAAAGCCTGCTTTTGTGCAGCAAGAGTTTCCCTAGATATACAGTTACAGATTTTATTCAAGGAAAAAAAATAGGTCACAGGAACAAAACATCTCTTCATACAGAACAGTTTAACTACTGTATCCAGGGTAAAAAAAAAAAGATATAAAATCCACAAAAAGAAAGGTAGATTCATCAAAACTGACCTGGACAGGAATCTAGGAAAAGACAGTTTCATTTACTCACACCAAATGGGAGTGGAAAATGCCAAACGAAAGCAGACAATACAACACATTGTACTCCCATGACATATAAGTACAGATGCAAATTGAAAATGCAAGGAAGGGGAAAAAAAGTCATGCATGGGTCAGAAACAAATGATGGAAATGATATAATTTTAATAAATACAAAAGACAATAATTCACTAAACCTGTTAGAATTGTTAAATCCAAGTTTTGTGCCCATCTAAAGTAGCTATGCTAGAAAATCTTCCAGACATTTCCTTTGCTCTGGGTACAGTTCATGTTCCACAACATCCCATTTACTGTCAAGAGGGATGTTCTTTACATGCCTCAATGGGTGATAGATTTTCATTTTTGCTACAGTCACATAAATGGCTAAACCACCTGCACCTTAAAGATTAGTACATTTGGGGCATTTGCTTTTGAGGACTACAGCCCATTTCCTCTCATGCACAAAGTGTTACCCTCCACTGGCACATACACACATGGTTGGGATGAGATTATAATCCGCAGGTACGAGGGGATTTAAGTGCAAAAAGTATAACTGAGCCAGGCAGAAGAACTGTTATCTTTAAAGGACCATCTGTTCAAATACACACAATATGGTCAAAAACCACACACACAACACAAAGTAATATAGAAATATGGACATGATCTGCCAGATACAAGAACTTCAAAAAGATACTTCAGCAAGGAAAGGTAAGCAAACTTTCCTTTCCACTATTAAGGGGAAAACATATCTGTCTCTTCTAAGAGGCCTGCTTAAGGCAGTTCAGATCCTAGATGGGAAAGTTCTGAATTTTTTACTTGTTGAAACAATCTATTCACTAGGGTGCTAGGCCCATGAAAGGATCATTGTGACCCTTGGCATTTCTTCCTCACTCAAATGGTAGGAGTAAACAGTGGAACATATAACAGTAGTCTGACTAATACTAATGGCATTTAATGCTCTCCCATATTTAGCCTCTGTCTTACTCGTGTGACTCAGACAGCCTATAGGCAGCATAACTCTATTAACATATTCTCTTACATCATAAATATTTTAACTAAGAATCTCTGGTCATTGCTGAATGGCATTATCTAAGTTTTAATGCCAGTACACACTCTCTCACACACCACTATCACGAAAACAGCACATATCTACATTTACTCAAATAATGTGTCGACACCTAGCACTGGGTTGAGTGGAAGGAGGACTAGAGGGAATTTATGATACAAAATGTTACAGTTTCTTTGTTTTAGGGACCACAGAATTACTTCAAAGGAAACAAAGGGCCACCTAGTCCAACCACCTGAAAGACAGTCATTAACCTCTAGTGATAATCTCTTTCACTACACCACAACTCTTACTTTGAGGAAGTTGTTCATAATGTTTAGTTGGAATTTCATTTCTTATCAGTTAAATCTAGGGGTTCAGTCCTATGCTCTGGAAAAGTACAAATCAATTTTGCTTCACTGTTTCTCTGATAACCCTTTGATATTTGACAATGGCTATCATATCACTTCTCAACCTTTTCTTCTCCAAGCTAAAAATGCTTAGTTATCTTGACTGGTTTTTAGACAGTTTACCATCTTAATCACTATCCTCCGGAAATGTTTTAACTTATCTCAATTAAACTGTGGTGCCAAGCAGTAGGCACACCACTACAAACATGGTCTGATTATAGCAGAACAGAATGATACTATTGCTTCCCTAGATTTTGGCCCTATACATTTGCTGATGTTTAGGGTCATTCTAATGTGGCTTTTTTGTGCCACATTAGATTGTTGATTCATATTGAGTTCCTAGATCTCTTTCATATGTACTGAGGCAGCCTATTTATCACCTTTTTTGATTAAGTATTCTCTACAGCGTTGTAACACATCTTCTACCTGTAAGAAGCAAGCTGTTTCATAAAGCTGTTCGACTGTTGTGTCATTTATTGCACAGGATGGCACAGGATGGAAGGAATAACACATTGGTGATCATTCTTCAGGTTCATTCCACCATCCAGTTATACATCCATTTATCAATAGTATTATCTAAACAAATGTATCTCAAGCTACCATATGTAGGAGCCCAGTGTTTTTTTCTACTACGGGATTGAAAGTAGATGGCTTGTAGAGCAACACAGAACTATGGATTACTATTTTGAGAACTTTTCTAATGTACATTTTACCATGTTATCATGGGTGATTTGTCCAAACATTATTGAAACAAATATATACAGCAGTCCCCTAATATCCTATGTATTCTGTCACACAGAGAGAGAGAGAATGTGTGTGTGTGAGAGAGAGAGAGGGAGAGAGATTTTGGGTTTTAGTAATAACAGCATTCTTTTCCAAATGCTTGCAGTCCAATCATTTTGCAGTATGTTCAAGAACCTTTCCCTAGTCACCTCCAGGGTTCTTTCTTACTTCCGCTTTCTTGCTCCTCCCACTGAGGTATAAAAGGAAGGCATGAAAGCATTTGTGGGTTATTTCAAACATAGCTGTCTTACTGTGCAATTCAAAATTTCTTTTAAAGATCACTGTCCAAAATTAGAGGAAAACTACTTTCGCCTGTAGTGCCCAATTCTCCCAGTTGGCTATATCTCTTTTCAAAGTTCACATTCCTGAAAAAAATATTGCAGAATAGAGAGGAAATCTCACATCCATTAACTACTGCATTAATGTGAATGAGTCCCATGTGGAGTCCATCTACCCCCAAACTAACTCATATGGTCCGTGTAGACATCCCCACCAGGGACCGTGTAGGTCCCTGGTGGGGATGAGTATGGGATAGTTGGTTGACAAAAACTTGAGGACAATGTGAAAAAATGGCTGGATATGGCATGGTTCCTTTTACTGAAAAGTGGCTCTCCCTTATTGAATCTATTAATGCCCACTTGAAAAAGTGTTCACCTCCTTCACAGCATCAAGGATTATGGAAATATGTTTTGTATGATATTTAGATATCACAGCTAATTGTAAGGTTCATTTAAATTGTTTTTAATTAATAGACTGATAATTTATCTTGTTAGGTGATTTTTATTGCTGATTTTAATAAATATTGCTTTTTTTTAAAAAAATAGCATGTATCAATAGAAGGACATATTTGGAAGGTAACTTCCCAACTTCCTCTGTCCTCTGTCCTTCCCATCCCACTCCTCTCATGAGGTTTTTTGAATGATGTGAGCTATGGCATGGCTGCATCGCTAACACTTTCCATGAATAACGACTGGAAGAAAAAGAAAAAAACTTCTAATAAAGCATGATATCAATATGCTCATAGCAGCCTTTTCCCAATCGAGGTATCCTGGCTCATTGTCGCAACTCTTTTGGTATGTGAAAATTTATCCTCAACCAGTGCCCTTTTGTGGAAATATCTTGGAATCCAAATCACTGAATTCTTCTAATTTGGGAATAATGATTTAAACAATTGCTTCTAAAGCTATCTGATGTGGGACACTGGTAGTGTTTTCCTCTCAATATAGTAAGGACTGGTACCATATTTATGCCCACTGATACAACTGTTTCTTTCTTTCCTGGAAACTGACCATGGACCAACAACCTACAATGTCAACTATCCACAGACCATACCTTTGAGTACGACTTTTTTTAGAAAAGTAAACAGATAATCAGTTTTGTTTTTCTACGCATTTTGGAGTGCATCAGTAACAAGGGCATAAGGAGCCACCATAATTTAATCCAGTAATAATATGCACCAAGACAAATATTTTAGAATGGAGATTTCTATCTGCCCAAAACATTTCCATTTTGTTGCTGCTTCAAGACAAAAGAGAGAAGTGGTGGCAACACTCCTTTATTTACCTAACAGCCAGACATTTCTATGTCTCATTTCACTTTCTTGCCTGCTACTTCCTGACACTATTCTGATTACAAATGCCAGTTTAAAGATGCTCTCTAAAGATAGATAGGAGCTGTCTAACAGCTCACAAGGAGAGATGACAGTAAAGAAACATAGATGCTTTCTCCTCCCCTGTTCATCCCAGCCTCTCCAAACCTACTCCATTACACTTAGAAGTACTCAAATGTAGTTTTTTCCACAGTCCATTTCACTAGAAATGATTGCACAGGGAGATATACTAAACACAAACACTGGGAATACAGCTTTGATTAGCTGGCAACATTGAGAAAGCTTGTCACATTATAACTGAGTGTGCGCGTTTCTAAAAAAAAAAATTCTACTTCATATATAAAAAGATTATTATATTTATTTCAAAACAAGTCCTCCTTCTCAAGCCCTTACAGATTTCACCAGTGATACTGCAAAAATTGGCACACAAAAATTTTACTCAAGTTAATACATATTACCACATTAACATGCAGTTGTTGCCAGAATGTGGACAATGTTTATGCAAGTATAATCTTGGCAAGAAAGCCCTTCAGTATATCAGATGCACCTTGCAACCCACAAAATGACACCATTAGATTATTACCAGACACCGTTCAGACACTGTGATTCCATTATAACGCAGTTGCATCAAAGTGCCATAAAAATGGGGATAATAATGCAATTTTCCTGAACATTAGCTCTGACGCCAGACTGCCAACATGAAGAACTTTATAAAATAAAAAGTAGAGCACATACACATAAGAATTGTGTCAAAATATCTTCCTACCTTTTCAGTGATATAAAAACTGGAACTATCGGCATGCTGCAATGCATAATGTTCATGGTTTGGGAGAGACCACCTTAAAATATAAAATCAAGCTTATTAGTCAGTGTACATATAAAATAGAAATCCAAAAACTGTATTCAGCTACTGTTGTCCAAGAATACATACAATATATATTACTCTATTCTGTTTTTAAATTATTATTCTAGGCTTTGCCTTTCTTTTTACTTTTTCATGCAGTTTTGACTATGCAAAGTATGTAGAGTTATGTAGAGAAAATTATAAAGATATATATAAAAGCAACACTGGCCACATGTGTGTATAACATACATTATGTCTTAACAAACCCCAATGTGAGCAAAATGCATGCTAGCATATACAAGGCCATCTGATTCTAATTTGCTTTGAACCTGACATGACAAATTATATCAAGGAAGTATTTTTGTGTGACATTTGAATCCAGTTTTAGAGTCAAGTACATTTAAAGAAACCAGGATGAAATAGGATTTGGTTAATAACTGGTTGGACTCAAAAGGTGCTTCCCAATGGCTCCTCTTCATCTTGAAGAGAAGTGACCAGTGGGGTGCCACAGTGTCTGTCCTGGACCACGTGCTATTCCATGCCCTTATCAATGACTTTGACGATGGAATAGAAGGCATGCTTATCAAATTTTCACATGACAGCAAATTGTGAGTGATAATTAATACCCCAGAGCACAGAATCCAAAATAAAAAAAACCTCTAACAGAGAGTTCAGCCAAAAATTACAAAATATATTTCATTTTACATTTAGGCAGAAAAAAATGAACAGATACAGAATGGTTAATATGTGGCTTGAAAAGAGTATACATAAAAGTGATGTAGGAGTCGTAGTAGATCACAAGCTGAACGTAAGTCAACATGTGATGTGGCAGCTAAAAAAGCCAATGGAAGTCTAGGCTGCAGCAATAGGATTATATTGTCTAGAGACCAAGGAAAGGAAAAGTCACATTCTATTTTCCTTTGGCCAGACCTCACCACGAATACCGTGTCCAGTTCTGGGCATCACAATTCAAGATGGATATTGACAAGCTGGAAGGTATTTCAGAGAAGGGCAGCCAAAATGATCCAAGGTTTGGAAGCCAAGCATGAGGAGCAGCTTAGTGGGCCGGGTATGTTTAGCATAGAGAAGCATAGAGAAGAGAGGACATAATAAACATGTTTAAATATCTGAAAGGTTGTCACATTGAAGAGGGGGCAAGATTGTTTTTTTGTGGCTCTAGAGCAGTGGTTCTCAACCTGTGGGTCCCCAGATGTTTTGGAGTTGAAGTTTTACAACATCTAGATGGCTTTCTACATCTGCTCCCCAGATGTGGCTGGGCAGTAAGTCCCATAATCTCTCATCAAGAATAATTAAGAATACATAATTCTGATTAATTTCTGTATGTTCTGTTTGGAGGAGCCAGTATGAAACAGTGGTTTGAGTTTTGGACTAGAATACAGGACACTAGAATTTGAATCCCCATTCAACCATGGAAACCCATCTAAGTGACTATGAACAAATTGTACTCTTTCAGCCAAAAAAGGCAATGGCAAAACTCACTGTGAACAAATCATGCCAAGAAAACCAAGTTGGAAATGACTTGAAGACATTCAACAGCAAATGTTCCTGTTTGAGGACTTGTATTCTTTTTTGCTGATGTTATGTTTGTTAATACTTTTTTTACATAAACTAAAACTTTAAATCAACAAGAAGATGTTAAAAATCTTCAGCATTTCCAAGCTGGTTAATGCTGACAAGAGGCTGAAACCTAGGCCACCTGGAAGGCCACATTACTTTTGTTTTCAGAAAGACAGGTCCTGGATACAGGGTTAACCTGTGGACTAAGCAGCAGGTTAGCACCATACCCCAAAATTTCAGGTGGTGAGATCAGCCTGCTCTGAATCAGGAACTGCCTATACCTGGACGAGCTCTAGAACAGGTTCACAACCTGTGGATCCCCAGATGTTTGGGCCTTCAACTCCCAGAAATCCTAACAGCTGGTAAACTGGCTGGGATTTCTGGGAGTTGTAGGTCAAAACACCTGGGGACCCACAGGTTGAGAACCACTGGTCTAGAGGCTAGGACATGAAACACAATATATTCAAACTGCTGAAAAAGAGATTCCACCTAAATATTAGGAAGAAGTTTTTGGTGGTGAGAGCTGTTTGGCAGTGGAATATATTGCTATGGAGCATGGTGGAGTTTCCTTCTCTTGAGGTTTTTAAACAGAGTCTGGATGGCCAATTATAAGGAGTACTTTATGTATTTCTGTATGACAGGATTGTACTGGATGGCCACTGTAGTCTCTTCATGATTCTATGTAAAGGATAGTGAGAGTTTCAGTTCAGCACCATCTGAAAGGTTATTTCTCATTTCTGCACTACACTGTTTCCTCTTCAAAACTAAGAAAACAAAACTGAACCATGCTCAACAACATTTTGAGTTTTCTCACAATGAAATTAGCCTGCATAGAGATTAGCAGTGTATCCAGTTGAGGATTAAGCCGATATGCAGAAACAGATGCACAGGAAACAATGTATTCTTAGTGGGGGTGGGGTTGTATTCTGGAACTCTTTATTTTGAGTGTTGAAAGAAAGCACAACAGCAACTTACCCGTCACAGACTTCCTTTATAATTGCAGTCAATGGTTTTTTCTGAGGACAAAAAAGGGAATTATTCATTGTGTTTTAACATCACAGCATAATAGTCTAATACTGATTTGTAACAGCGAAACAAAACTTCTGCTTATTTCAGTTAACCATATAAACAGTTTGAAAATGTCTTCTTGAAAGGTAATATACAAACCTTCTAGATATGTAAACAAACAGCTAAGTGTTTGTATTATATTACAAAATCTAGTTGAAACGAGTACTGAATATATAGTTTCAAATATTGATCTATATTAAAAGTCTATTGAAAGGAATACAGATATAATGACTACAGTGTGTTTTGAAATCTCATTGGGTTGGCTTGGACACCATAATAAGTCATGGCTTATTATTTCAGGAATGAAGTTAACAACAAAGGTAACACGGGAACTTTCATCTGATTTTTCCCCCCAGACGCTTTTGCTTAAGAACAACTTTGACCTTCTTCTTCAAACACAAAAATCTGTGGAAAACCTAATAAAAATTTCACCATTTCAGCAAAGGGTAGACAAAAGACCTGGCCTGTTTAGAACTTGAATATTTAAAAACTGCAATTAATCATAATTGCCTTTCATAATCTATGGTTTGTATGTTTCCAAAAGATAATTAAAAGTAAGCATAGTGTGTCTGGTTCAGATTATAGCAGGATAAGGTGTGAATTACTGAAAAAACAAAAGTGTCTTCCTTGCAGCCAATCCAGAAGAGAAAGGAGCACACAAGTCTGAGTTCACTGGAGGGTAATTCCCTTCATAATACATTATGATTTGTGAAGACATCCAAACATGCCCCAGAAACCATTATTATGAGCACCTTTATTAATCTTTAAGGTGCCAAAACACTTTCTGCGGCTTCTCTACAAGCAGACATTTCATGTTTCTACTCTCTAGATGCCCTCTGCAATTTCCTGCATGAGAGAGGACACGTTCGAGTTGGGATACACATGCATTGTATTACAGTTATCCCTTTCTGCACTCATTTCACTCTGATTTCCTTCCCTGCAACTGGGTTATGAATATACACCCAAGATTTAACCATTAATGCATTTGAAGAAGTAGATTCACAAAAGATCATAGTAAAATAAATTGATTAGCTTGAAAGTGCCCCAAGACTTTATCTTCCCTATCTTTTATATAGCAGCCATTGAAGCTCACAGGGCCCAGTAATGTTTAGACCTTTGTTGCTAGCCCAGAGGACAGCATGAAATGGTCTGCGACACTTTACCAGTTCCAACCCACTTCCTTTTATTCTCCTCTTCCAGGAAAGCCTCTTGAAATATTTGACTCCAGAAATGTAAAAATTAACACATATCCACTAGGGCCCATTTCATATTACATAATTATAGCATTGTGACTATACTCCACCTGAAATAATTCCATCATTTGGAATGCAATGATTCTATCAGTTTTGGGGGTGGGAGAGAACATAGAATTCCCAAACATTGATTCTACTACCTCACCGAACTCAACAAACTACCTCAACAAACAGTGACATCTCCGGCCCACCCCCTGTTTGGATATCAGCCAGCATGCCAACAACTTAAATCAAGAAATAGTTTTCTAAGATCTACAGAGACACTCGCTGGAACACCTCAGCAAGCAAGAGTCCAAAAGTGGCAGGCAAAAACCCAGAACTTCAATCAATGGCTGATACCAAATGAGAGACTCCCTCCTGGGCACACAGAAAACTGGGCGACGGAAAGCACTGAACAGACTGCGTTCTGGCACCACGAGATGCAGAGCCAACCTTTTGAAGGGGAATTATAGTACTATAAGTTCATAGTGTGAAACAGCCAAAATTTCCCTTGGATATTGCAGCAGATATGCACAAAGCAAATCTGTACGATGCTGGAATTGTTAGAATGAACAATATCACCCCAACGTAGTAACAAACGCGAGCTCAGTTACAAGGAAAGGATGATTATTATATTCATCTATATCCCGCTTTCCTCTCTTAAAAGAGACCCAAAGCATCTAACAATGCTAAAACAATATAATGTACAATTTAAAGCCTGTAGCACATAAATCTGGAACAATAAAAGTAAAACAGTTGAAAATATTAAAAACCTATCAAAATATATAGAACACTACACTGTACCCCATGGCTCAAGACTCCAATTTTTTTTCTTTATAAGCCTACCTGAAAAGAAAGGTTTTTGTCTGATGTGGAAGGACTACAGGGATGGACCATTCTGGCCTCACTAGGCAGAGGTTTAAAGATATGAGGGGCAGCCACTGAGAAGGCCTTCTCTCGCTTCCCCCACGGCCAAGCTTGCAACCTGGCAGCCAGTGGAGCAATTGCAACAGAGGGCTTGTACACTCCCTGAAGTCAATTTCAGTTAACAATCTGGCCACAGCTCTTTGGACTACCCGGTTTCCATACAGTCTTCAACGCCAGCCCCATATAGAGTGTTACAGTAATCCAAACAGGATGCAACTGAGGCATGTAGCACAATGAATGAACACATGCAGAAAGATAAGTGAGCAAGTGCCTGTTGATTTTTGGCAAACCTATAATTTCATAGGTTCTTTTCAAACAAGGAATAGGGAAATTTCTGCAGCTTGCTTGCTTGCTTCCTCTGGAATTTAGGCTACAGCACTTAGCACTGGCAATCTCCCATACCAGTACTAACCAAGGCTAACCCTACTTAGCTAACCTACTTAGTGGCCTTGGGATATTCAGGTTCCAGGAAGGTGAATACAGGGGAGAGCAGAGAGAAACATTTAATCTTTATTGTCTCCCCTTTCCTTCATTAAATCTGACCCATCACTCTCACTGTATAGTAAAACCTGAAACAACACTAAAGCTATAACATAAGGCTGTTAAAGATGAGCAAATGGAAAGGGAATCTAATTGAGAAGTAAATTTCCAACTGATGCTCTGGCCACGAAACCCAGAAACATAGTCATTTAATTAATCTGTCCTTCTCAGCACTGGAAGATAAAAATGTCCAACTCTAATGTCCAACTCTAATGTTAATATTGCAGCAATTGAGACATAGGTCATTAAAGGGTCTTCTATCATTCCTCATACAAACCTGCACGTCCAAGACAAACAAAACTTAACTCTTAGATTCTAGTGCAAATATTGTTCAACATGAAGCACAAAGCAACTTGTAAACAACTTGATCTTTTAAGCTTCCTTGCTCATTTTCCAGTAACAGTTATGCATCATGATTAAAGAGTGTTTTGAAAACAGAGTTTAGCAAACCTAGCTCTGTTATATATAGCGCAGTTCCACGTGGATCAACACATGCACATTTCTGAAACAAAATATTTCCACTCTTTCAACAAACTATCCACAAATTCACTAAGAAGCTATAGAAATGTCAGTAGAAAACACTCTCCTTTGCCTTCAAACTTCATTGCAGCAAGTCTGCATGATACCATATGGTCTAGCTAAAGTTAATTTTGTTTTGTTCCCAGTCCCCAAAATAGAAAGAACACTGTCTGGTCTAAGATGTCACAACATTCTGAGCACGGCGGTAAACATAAACACATGCATCCTTTACACATATACAGACATTTAAAAGCAAAATCAGGAGCCATTCGTCTGAAAAAAAATCACAACTATGAAGTTGTTTGCAGCAGTCTCCAAGAGACAAAAAAAGTATGTTTTGCTTTAAAGACAACTCTGACTTTATCTGTGGCCATTTCAGCATGGTCAGATAATATTCCCATTTCCTTGTGGTCAAATACACTTTTTCACAGGAATGTAAAGTGGCATAGAATTACTTACCACACAATACAAATGTACATTACATATAGTAATACTGCATTTCTTCCAGCAGTCACAGTTTATTTTGCTGTCGTATGCATTCAATTAGTTTCCAACTAATTGACCATAAAGCAAACCTATCAACAAGGTTTTCTTGACAAGAATTGTGCTAAGGAAGTTTGCCTTTGCCTCCAAGGCTGAGAAGAGTGTAACTTGCACTATGTCATCCACTAAGTTTCTATGGGTGAGTGGGGATTTGAACTCTGCTCTCCTTGTGGACAGGTCCTAACTCAGCATCCAAACCAGTATACCTTGCTGGCTCTCAACAAAATATGTAGTTTAGCTGTTGATAAGATTTCTGACATGACACACAATATCAAAATGATTCATTTCTTGATTAAGAAGCATCTGTGGCTCTGATTATGGCATTATGAACAGGAAAATGGTGTAGACCTGTAGTTCTCAAAGTGTTCCCACCTCCTCCTCCTCTCCAAGCTTTCCCTACTCTTTCTTCCCCTCTCCCACCTCCCTTGCCACAAAAAGTCCTTTCCCTTCGGCCCCCTTGCCACCCATATCATTTCCCCCTCACTTTCCATGCTTCAAAGCCCTATTTCCCTCCCACCGTTCATTGGGTGGGTCCTTTTCCTGCATGGCAGAAGGGTGTTGGACTGGATGGCCCCTGGGGTTGCTCCTATTATTATTATTATTATTACAAAAGCTGGATGTCCATCTTTTAGGGGTGTTTTGATTATGCTTTCACTGCATGGCAGATATGGGTTGGACTGGATGGCCCCTGGGGTCTTTCACTGAAATACTATTAAGCTTATGTTGGTTAAATTGTTTTTCATATTAAATATTGTATTGTTCTTTCTTTCTTTCCTCCCCATTTTTTGCACTACAAAGGGGATATGTGCAGTTTGCATAGAAATTTGTCCTTTTTATCAATTAGTTCACTCAGACATTCTCCATCCATCTGCCACTGGCCTGGCCCTCCTGTCAAATTTTAAAACACAATGACATTGTCAAGCAGTGGCATCATCATCATCCTGCATGTCAATAACAGGAGAACATCATCAACAATAGTTTCTTTGCAAAGGTGGGTACTAGATGGGTGTTGTGCTGCTATGTGCCTTCAAGGCCAGAAGGTTACCGCAGTTCTTAATAATGCTTTTACTTGCTTCTACAAGCCAGTGGTCAATTTTCTCACCCCATACAAACTGCTGCATAAAAATCTAGGAAATGCCCAAACTGGATGGAAGTGATAAGACATCTATTTGTTGTCTTGAAAAACA